AAAAAAAACTGCGTAAAAACATATTGCAAGTGTCTTTTAAGGTGTAAGAGGAAAAACATAAAAGTGAATTTTTATCAAAAAGAAATTAAAAGAAAAAAGTTTTTTTAGGGACTTATTGCGCTGCCCAGTGATCGCTTCAAAAAAGCGATCGGTCATTGGACAGCGGTGGTGAGTACACTGAGGGTGAAAAATGCAAACTCTTCGAAATGTCAATGGCATTTTGAAGTGAGGACTGGCGAAGTAATGGCCGAACAAGTGAGGACACGAAGGAATTGAGTTCGTGAGTCGCCTTCACTTTATTGTGTTCTAGTGCCCATTATCGTCACACCCACCAAGGGTATTGCTACGCATGGATGCAAACTGCAGTTGAAATTCAAGCCAAAAAACTACTGTTTCGGCCGAGAAAACCAGTTCAGCAGTTCGACAAGTTCAGCGTTCGAGTAAAACATTAGTATTATTGCTGCTACTACCAGCATTATTATTATCACTATTACTAATATCACTATCATCGTTATTTGGATTACCATGTTCTGATTTTACAATATATCAAATAAAAAATTATTTTCTTTAATTACAGGTAGTACTGTTTACAATTGTTTATTGAATTTCAGGTTCGTAGATATTTCCCTTTCTCGTCCTTCTCCTATTGGTTTTGGTCCAAATCCAGAAAAAAAATAAATAGTCCAAGCGCCAAGAATACAAGGGGATGGTAATTCAGAACGAACGTTCTAATGAATTATTTACAACTATGAAACTATTTCCTACATTCAATTTTTGATTCGAAACCCAAAATTCTGGTTAATTCAACAAATTCAAAACTGTTCGAAACTAGACTTTTCGAAATTTAAGAAAAATCTACTCATTTGCACGAAATGAGGCTCATTCATTCATTTAAATTCAGCTTCCAAATATTACTGTTTGTTGAATTACAACCACTTTCTGGCATACGCACAAATCAAAAATTTTTGTGCTTTTCATTACGTTCAATCAATCAAAAGCTTTTCTTGGGGAACAGTAACTTGCACTGGCCCATTCATCGCCTATATAATTGCAGAGGCTGAATGCTTAAAAACAGCGGCCCATACAGGCTTCCTGATATGCATCGCTATTTATTGTGCGAGTTGTTGGACGGGAACATTTCTGCCTAGCTGTTTTAATATTTTATTTTTATGCGTTTTTGCCGTGCAGCGCTAGAGCGCTGCAACAGGCAGCAAAAACGCATA